TCCAGAAAGACAAATGCTAAATGTTCTTTCTCATATGTGGATCCTGGCTTTGAAAGTTTGCATTTGAGTTTTTAACTTGGGAGTTCCTATGGAGAACAAGAAGCTAGGAAAGGGTCACAGGTGAGCGGGGGTGCCATGGGGAGGGGAGACAGTCGAACACAGGTGATAGTAGAGTAGAGAGGTGAAACACTGAGGGGGAAAAGTTCAAACAGGAATGGGGCTTGGGGATAGCGAGATGAGGGGGTAGGGAGAGAGGGTTACCTCAAATGAAGGATGTGTGAAAAGCTCATATGGAAACATACCGCTCTTTAAGCTAATTAAAATATATATATCAACAAAATTGAGTTAGAGAGAGATCTCCTGCATGGCTTGTTGATGCTGCTCCCAGAAGCCACTGTTTATTAAACAAAAGTCCCAGCACCAGGTGTGAGGCACCTCCACTGTGGACCAGAGAGGCCCCACAAGCCCTCAAAAACAATACAGGTTCTTGCCATTCCTCTTGGTTGCCCACAAGAACCAGATGGTAAGACTCAGTTACTGAAGATACCACATGCATTGTTTGCAAGATATAGAGAAATCACTCTGGAACTGAGCCCAAGATTCCTCCCTGCTGGCTGGCTTCCATAGTGCTGGAATGTGCTGTGCAGGCTACTGAGGAGAAAAAGGCATCAGTGACCCAGCTATGAACTAAGAACCTGCCAGGTGAGATGTGTGCACTGGTGTGTAGTAGCATGGGAGATATGGGGTAACCAACTACTGTTGGGTTGCCTTGAAGAGCTGCTCCATAGGAAAGAATACATTTCTAGTATGGTAAGCATTTTCAAAGAACCATTTCTGGGGAGATCATAGAGCCTAGGAGGGAAGAACCTACTACCATTGTATAGCTAATTGACGTAGCATTGCCTTCTAAATATTTATATTTGTGCCCAGAGACAAATGCTATACTCAGCCTCAATCAGAGGCAATGAATGGCAGCAGATGCAGAAACTCATGGCTGCTTATGATGCTGAAAATAAGTGACAGTTGAGTACCTTGCCCTAAATAGAACATTTGTACTGCCCCCTCTAAGGCTCAGAGCACTCTGCAGAAGTAGACAGAATTAAAGAGTCAGAAGAAAGGGAAGAAAAGGAGATGCAAAACTGCTATCATTCAGGGCATGCTACAGCCTTTGAGAACATGATCTCACAGCAGCAGAGATTGCCTGAACTGAGCCTGAAGAAGGCTAAACCTGTCAGCAGTCAATCACAGACTGGGGAGGGACTCACGTGGTCTGTCTGGACTGAGCCTGGTCAACAGTCAATCACAGACTGGGGAGGGACTCACGTGGTCCTACCCCTCCCTGATGAATTGCCGGTTACTGGTAGACTCTAAGAGAGGAGCGGTTGTTGCTCCTTGGTTATATGGACAATGGTGAGTCCACCATCTCCATTGGAAAGTTCCAAAGCTGTGGCCAGAGATGGCCTTGGATAAAACCAATAAGTCACAGAAGAAAACAAAAAGTAGAAAAGAGAAGAGGATGGAGATGGGCAACAGATAAAAGAAGGTGACGGGGTTAGGGTAATCAGAATGGGTAATGTACATGAAATTGCCAAAGGACAATGTTAACCAATAAAAAAGTCGCAAATACAGTTAATCATGTACCTACCTACGACACAGCAAACCTACTTCTAGGTGTATTAGTCAAGTGACACACATGACCTCTCACAGCTCCAAACTGTGAGCATCATAATTTTCTATTATTCAGCAAGACCATGAGCAAACAAAATTGCCGTATATTCAAGACTACCCATCAATAAAAAAGGATAAAATACTCATATTCCAATGATGTTATGCTGAACAATGAACATCAAGTATGATAGAGTATATTTTATCCATATCAAAGTTCAGGAGCAGTGCAAATGAGGGAAATTGACTTAGTCAATGTTGATGAGAATTAATTTAGTGGGATCCTGTCTCAAAGTAAAAAGCAAGAAGAGGCCTGGGGTTAGGGTTAGGGCTGGAGGATAGACCAGGTCCTGGATTCAATCCATAGCACTATAAAACACAAAGCAAAACACAGCTCACCCAGAATCTAGGGGAGCAGAAAGCACAGAACCCCCATTAGTCATGTAACCCTGAGATACAGACTGCATACAACATCTGACACAAGAAAAGTAGCCACTGTTAAATGCCACAGCCGGGCCCCCGCCCCCCCCCCCGCCCAGCATGGCTGTTGGAAAGGGTTTTATATATGCAGTAAACTGTTGTGTTCAAACAGCTGAGGGCAAGGACACCTCCACCCAGGCAGTCATATCTGCATCCCAACGCCCCTTCCGGTATAGATGAAGGTTTGACTGAGTTCTCCAATGCAGGGCCCTCTCTTTGTCACATGCCTTAGGTGACAGTCTTTGAAGGCTGTCACAAAACATAGATCTTGAAGACAAGCACACCAGAAGAGGGACAGTAAAATGTTTCTGGAAGCATTACAGAAAGTAGGACGGCAGTCACTAGGCGAGGACCAGAAAGGCCACAGAAGACCAGAAACCACAAATCCTGAAGCTAGACCGTCTGCCACACCTGTCCACCCCAGAGGGAAGAGATCCAGAAAGAAGAGCACTCTCCCTTCTAAGCAGGGCTCTGGCTGTGAACTCGGCTCCATTCGCCGACACCACACAAAGACTTGGAGAACCCCCTTCCTTCTTTGGTGTTTCTCAATAGATGCTACAGAATTGGAGGGACAAGCCCTTGGGTCTAGGACTGTACATGATATAGAACATCCTAAAGGCCACTAGCACACCTCACGGTGACACTAATACAATGCCTGGAACCATTACCAAGGTGAGAACTGCCACAAAGGCTTTGATAAAACACTCTGTGAGTATTTTCTGTAATCCAATCTATACTGAATTAGAATTCAGCATCAGTGTTCTAATCGGAGTTTGTAGCAGTGAATATTAACTGTAAATATCAGTGTCAAATAAAATAGTGACATATTCATTTTAAATGGGTGTAATTGCATTTAAAATGGAGATTTCCACTGTCTTTAGAAGCTACTTGCCCCTTACCTGTCCGGCCTGACCCACAGGTGACTTTGCAACAGTGGATATGAGGTCAGTGCTACAGGTGGACTGGGTGGCTAGCTCCTTGTTTTCTTTCTCCAGGTCGCAGCAAGTGGATTATGAAAGCAGGATGGCAGTCACTAGGTGAAGACAAGAGCCATGTCATCTGTGTGTGCCCTTGTCCTGTGTTCCTCCCCTATTCCACTCTCTATGAGTAAAGAACTATAAGCCAAAGCAAGTGACCCTTCCCCTCCCAGGCAATGGCCCTGGTCCCCATCTCACTGGACAGACTTAAGAACCAGGGTGCCTCTACAGTGACCTAACATCATGTCCCTGGAGATACTATCCCTTCCTAACTCTTCCAGAGGAAGCCTAACAGCAGTTTCTCTCTTGAGTTCTAAAAGTCCTAGGCGGGAATCTCAAGAAGAATAGGAGAGATGAGTTTGACAGATAGGTCTATGGTTAGTAATTTAAAACTGTAAAGTATTTCTTGCATTTAGCATTTGCTTTTTCAAAATGGCATTTATTTTCGTGTATAAGAAAATACAAGTTCTCTTGTTAGATAATTTATGTAAATCTAAACAGTCAACTTGTTTTTTTTAATGTGAGGCTAGCAATAGAATTATGGCAGTTTGAGATGATTTTTAATTTGAGATTTTTTAATCATGTTTTTTTTTTAGAAGAACTTGACCCCAAATGTGAGGAACAACTGTTCTGAAGTCTGAGTTGTTCAGTCAGTAGCCACAAACCAGCCATGTTCAGAGTGAGATGTGTTCCAAGTGTGATATGGATCTGATTTCAATGACCTGTGAAGTTCTCATGAGTGCATCTCACAGCAGCTGCCTTTTATAATGGGATTTTGGATACTGAGTTATATAAAAATGTATGCGTGCATGTGTGTGTGTGTGTGTGTGTGTGTGTGTGTGTGTGTGTGTGTGAGAGAGAGAGAGAGAGAGAGAGAGAGTACTGTATGCCTGTGTGGTATATGTACCTATGTGTGCATGCAGAGTCCTGAGGAGGATTTCTGTGTGTCCTTCTCTGTTGTCCCCATCCCCTGGAGACAGGACCCCTCTGGACTGAACCTGGAGCTAGCTTGGCAGCCAGCAAGCCCCAGCAGTTTTCCTGTTTCTGCCCCCAACAGTGCCGGGGTCCCAGGCCTGCATGACCACACCTAGACTTTCACATGGATCTGGACTCGGCTCTTTAGGCTTGTGCAGCACAAGCTCTTACCCAGGCTCATCTTTGTGGCCTCAGAACTGCAATGCCGTCAACTTCACCCCATCTTTTTCTTTTTTAATGCAGTTATGGAAAATTCAATATTACATATGTGACAAATGTGTGGCATTACATATTTAGCAGACAATACTGGATTACAGCATATGGTTAAGAAAAATCAATCTCAGAAGTCCATAGACATACAATTCACAACATGCACAAAGCATGGTTATTAGAGCAGGAAGGCAGAGAGGAATGTGAAAAACATTGTTGACGAAACTGACTTGGGAGACACAGTGATGTAGGAACCCATCTCACTGTACATCCCTAACCACTTAGCCAGGAGAGTGAGCCAGAGACAGACCCTTAACGCTCAGTCTAAGGTAGAAAACGTAGTGTTTTTAAAGCCCCTGAGAAAAGTGGTACAGAGTTGAACAGCTTTATCTTTTCTTTTCTGACTCTAATGTACATCTACTGAACAAGAAAGTGTGTGTTTGTTGGGCTTGTTTGGGTCAGGTTCCGCCTGTTGAAAGTCAAGGCTCCTCTCGTACCTCTGGCCGCCACCTCTCGACATTAGCTCTCCAGCTCTGGGGCATGGCAATCTTCCTTCAGCTCTTTATTTTGAGCTGAGAGCTAGTGGCTGTAGGGGACAGTTGCCTGGGAACCTAGAAATATGACTGTGGACATTTTTCTCTTCTATCATTATTATCAAAGTTCTGAGTCAGAACATTCCAGTGAAGTCATTCTTGCGAGAGGAGTTGGTGTCTCCTGTGGCTGAACGGCATGTGAGCTTAGCCTGAAGCTCATTTTATTACACAGCCCTATGCCTAATCTTCCTGAGAAAAGATCAAAGATGCCTTTAGCAACATCTCTCACTCTTCTCCTGCCCTCTGCAACAGAAACCCTGAGTGTATCAAACAGTGAGTTTCAGGCTGGCCCTGGGACAGCAGCCATGAGTGAAGTACCCCGAGTGCTGCCTTCTCCTTCCCTGTTACCTATACGCTCCACAGTTTACTCTCCCTGAGGTTTTAAGAGCAGGCTCACTGGCGTCCAGGTTTCCATAAAATGACATCATCAGAGCAGCTTTAGGTGGCCCACAGACAGTGTTACCATGACAGTTTCCTCTGTGGCTCCAGCCAACTTCAGCTCCTAATCATACGTTCCAGATGTTTTTTCTCTCTACCGAGGACTGGCATCTCTATTCCTTAAAATGCCAGCCCCTCCATGCTCCAAGCCAGACAGGGGCCGAGCACATGGTAGGCTCTTCTCGGAAGATTGTGCAGCAGCACCAGCACCAGCTAGATGGGGCAGGGGCGTGGAGTGCTGACTCAGGCCGCCCTAACTTGACAGTGCACAAAACATCCCCGGGGATCTGGTTAGAGTGTAGGTTCTAAGTCACCGGATGGCAAGGGCTGGGGCAGTCTACTGCTCTGTCAAGTCAGGCCACTCAGCACACTTGAGTAGAAACGGAGAGCACCTCAGAGTACCCAGCTCTAGTGTCCAAAAATACTAATAGCCACTGTGTGCAGGAGCAGATTCCTTCGAGGACGAAGCCTTGGAAATGCATCTAAACAGGAGGGTTTTGAAATGAAGCCTCGGAGTTGATACCCGACTAGTTTACCACGTTGTCGTCTTGCAGCTTACCATCTCCTACTTCTCTCAAATGCACATAGCTGTGTTCTTCCCTGTGTCTGAACAAACGGGCCCTGCTACACCTCAGCCGGGCCTCGGGTAGCACTGGGTGGAAAAGGAACTTGAGTTGATTCTGTGACTTAGTTCGCAAAGCAGCTATTTTGAATGGACAGATTTTGCTCAATAAATATTTTGCATTCCATTTATTTGCTCTGTAACTATTCATGCCACTTTGCTTCAAGTAGGATGTGCTGCTGTCAATCCATGGATGCTAAGTCGAAATAACCATATTCATGGCAAAACCAAAAAGCTTACAGGTCATTCCATTCCCCCAACTGTTTTTCAATTGCAAGTTGGTCTGTCTGCTGCTGTGTGTTTGATGTGAGTGTTCAACTCCTTGTAAATGTGTCATCTAGTTTAATCAGCACTGATTAGAAGTCAAAATGACCCTTTTCTGTATTAGGTGGATATTGCTATGTGCATACTGTACACCTGACGCCACGGCAGTCATTGTGAGTGGGCGATGAGAGGTGAGAAGATGAAGGGAAAGAGGGAGAGCCTGACGGTATTTACCACAGAATCAAACCACACTGGACATCCCTACAACATGCGCGAAGAGCTGCCAGCACAGACCGCAGCCTGCTGACTGCTGACAAGGCATCTGCCAAGTTCATTGCTTCCCTCAAGGACGCAGGTGACCGGGCCCCCCTCGGCTAACAGTTAACAGTTCTACCAGACCAGGGAACTGTCTAACTGTTGGTTTGGACTATCTACAGATTGCCATCCTTGCTGGTTGTAATGTTGACTTTGAGGTGATTGTACAGTGTCAAGGCCTAAAGCAGAAGTGACAAACTTTGAGACATGTGTTAATAAAGCCATAGCACAGCAACAGTTGGCAATGAAACCACATGTTGTATACAATAATAACAGCACCAGGGAAGTCCTGAAACTGCTGCTGTTAGCAGTTCTGACTCGTTACACCCCTCACCCTTTCTCTCTCCACCTGTGCAGGAAGTAATCCTGCTTGATACGACGCCATCCTCCATATCGAAGGCTTCCAGGTGTCCAAGGCCACTCTTGTCTCTTTGTCTTTCATTTAGATTTGCCAAAAACACAGCCAGCCACCACTAAGTAGGGCTGTTATTTATTTGCTTGGGTGTATGTATTGCTGCACCCATACAAATTGGAAGTTTCTTCAGGGAGGTAGAGCTGATAGTACTTCCTACAGGCAGAGAACAGAGAAAAGCTCATTTATTTGACAGCAGGTTTTCCCAGAGGGAGCTGCTGATGGCTAGCTCGTCTATCTGCTGGTAGCAGGAAGTTTATTGCAAGGCAGAAATTGCTGACTTTGGGACAGACTCCTTACATTTCTAGAAAAAGCTAGAATCACTAGTGTGGTCTGTGCAGATGGTTGCCACTGTACATGTTGTGGAAGAGGTCCCCACATCATCGACTACACTTGAAGTGTGTGTCTAACATAAACTAGGGAACTAAATATTTCATGAAAAAGAGGAACATGTTTTTCCTAAACTATTTTCTGTTCTGCCCAGGTAAATGCTACAGCATTCCTCTCATTCTCCCACTGCTAAGGAACAAATTTAGATTCTGCCTCAAGTTCAACCAAAGACTTGCTCTTACACTGCTGGCCAATATTAAAGACAGGAGCATTAAACACTCATGATAGGAAAATCAAGCAGTCTTGGTAAGTCCCAGCCAGACACTCTAGTGTCCCATGATATATGATATCTAGACAATAAAGTATTTTAAGGACAGTATTTAAAGAGAGCATTTTAAGGAAACATTTATAAAAAATGACACGATGTTAATGATTTAATGCCTCTCCAAATGAGGGAATATGTAACTGTCAAAACAATGGGAGAAACCACAAAACAGCATGCTTCTAGGTGCTCAGGACTTATCTGTAAAGAAACTGACACAGGTTCCATGTGCCACTGACAAGAGACATGCATCTTAGTGTAGAGCGTCTGAAAGCAAATCTGGCATGGTGGCACATGGAGGCATGCTCATCCTTCCATAAGCTGCTTTTGGTAATGGTGTTTTATCACAAAGCAGAAAAGTAACAAATGATAAAGTTAAATGATATGCTCAGGTCAGCCTTAATGACAGGACATAACTGGATCAAAGCTTTTAAGAGGCAAGGGAAGAGCCTGGCAGGTGTCTTGAGGTACCTGATTCTGTTAGAACAGTTAGCCAATGCTAGATCAAAGGCAAATAAGAAACGAGAAAAAAATATAATGAATAAGATTGGAAAATATATTACCCATAGACAAGAAAAAAAGTTCTTCAAAAAATCCATCTTTTAAGGAAATCAATGTTTGATTTGATGAAGACAGGTACCTCTTGGCCAGTGAGAAGTATGATGTGTCTAGTCTTATGAGTGATGGGGAATGTGCCCAGGAAAGTCTCCACTTGGCGATCTTTTTCTCCCTTCCTGCAGTTTATCGATCCTTGTGCTCATCAATTCTGTTTTCTGACTAGTCTCTGAGTTCCTTACATCTCCTCCACTCACACTGGAACTGCCTGAATTCAGCCTTCACTAATTTACACAGAAGCTAAAGAATAGCTACCTATCTGGCCTACTGTGGCCAATCTCATCTACGACCTATGCGTGACATATCTTAGCCATACGACTCTTGCTGAAATATAAAACTGGATCAAACCACTGCTGTGTCTAATTTTTCTTTTTTAAAAAATACGTATTTATTTATTTTACATGGATGTACATGTGCTTGAGTGCATGTCTGTGCACCATGTGCGGAGAGTACCTACAGAAGCCAGAAGAAGGCATCAGATACCCTGGAACTGGAGTTGCAGACACTTGTGAGCTGTTTGTGGGTGCTGGGAATTGAACCTTGATCTTCTGGAATGTCAGTACTCTTAAACTATCTGTCTAGTTCTGTCTGCCTAGTTTTAAATGGTCCTCCCCTGCCATCAGGTCCGATGTGAGAGTCTTAAACAGACTTCCACAGTCTCCATGCTGGTGATCCGCTCTCACCCAGCCATCCTAAAATTTGTATCTTATCTGTAACAGACAAGCAATTTATAATTGCTTTATAAATCTCCCCTTACAGCTCTGTGTCTTCTGGTGTGCCATTTCCTTTGTCTGCCTGACACTGTCCTCCCCACTTCCCAGATGACATCTCTTCACCTTTCCAGACTCAGTGAGTCCTGTCATCCTTCAGGAACCTTGCCCTGCTTCCTGCCTTGGTTCCAGCCTCTGTCTGAGGGTCCTACCCATCTCTGGGCACATTGTGCATATTTCTGCTGAAGCAGCACTACGATGTGGTACAAACAGTGATCTGTTTCTTTGGCCGCCATTTGCAGGCCTCCAGTGGGCACCAGTGACATTACCAGTTCAGCTCCTTTCCACGAGAGAGAACATTGTCATTCTTCTATGGTGGATACATGGCTAGTTCCTGTGCTTAGTTACCAAGCGAACACTGGTCTAATGAATGACAGCATGCGACCAGCCTGAACAGTTCTCTCAGATCAGTGTCCAAGAGGATCACTGTCTTTGGATGTCACTGCTCTCTTTGGATCAGCAATGTCTACATCCCAGGGGAACCTGTTAGGATGTATGTTCTTAGCTGGCCTCACCACTTGTGGAATCCCAACCCACATGTGGAACCCAGGACACTGTGTCAAGAAGCCTTCTGGACAATTCTAACAGGTGTTACATTTCCAGAAACACAAGCTGCTCAAGACTAAAAGTGATAAATTCAAGGTCTCAGAAAATGTTGCCCCTACGAAGGGTATTTAAATGGTAAGACAGCTTTAAAAGAAGGCAAGGCACCACCACAACACACCGACCTGCCCACCACCCACACGTGCTTCATCTCTCAACAAGGAGTCATGTGTAGCAAACCACTAACGACCTTGCTTTCCTCTCCCCCTTCTCTCAGCACGCTAACCACGGGGTTACCGTTGGTGTTTTTCCCATGCGTGCCTTCAGACTTCTACTATACAAGCATACAGGCATTTATCTTTAATTAGAGATGTGATCTAGGCTATTACAGCAGAAATCACAGCACCTGCCTCAGCAAGCTACATAAAGACACCTGGAGTTGCAGGCAGTGGATGCAACTAGCCTGTTCCTTGCCATTTGTAGGTAGGCTGACAGGATAATATTCAACTTCCAAAATGCAAATGTAAGGGTTATGAGTACAAATCCAAGATTCTACGGTTGTAGCTGATTTATAACATAAAGTGGTGCATAGGAGCCCAAACCATTAAACACAAATAACAGCAGAGTTTGCACTGATGGACTTGGGTCATTTTTGCCCAGCCCTGTGAATCTCCAATGTAAGAGAAGTGTGCTTACCAGGGAGTGTTGTGTACTACAGGGTAGGAGGAATCCCAAACAGGTCATGAAGAGGGCTCTGGCTCCATCCTGTCAACACCACAGACAGGCCTTGATTCTATCACCTACAATAGCATCACCTGCTTGCCTCGAGCTTAACGGAAAGGACGTGATTATGGTTTGGGATAAATCTTTGTCATTTGGAAACCTATCAAATGAATGGCTTATGAAAATATAGTTGCCAAATGCATGCAGCCATAGCTCCCAAAATGGAAGGATGGGGGAGGTGGGAGGAAGGGAAGGGAGAGAAGGAAAGAAGGAATAGAAAAGGAAGGGAAAGCGGGAAGGTGTGGGGGAGGAGGCAGTGAGGAAGAGGAGGAAAAACAGTCACTTGCTTCCTCATCCTGACACCTCCTTTAGTTTCTTTTGACGATTCCTCGACTGTCTTTCCTTCCCTATGACTTTTCCTTGACTATCCTCCTCTTCCCTTGAAAAGCCTGTACTTTTGCCTCCTTATCTTTGCTTTTTCCAGGCGATTCTCAGGCATGTCAGTATTTGGAAATCTTTGCTGCTGGTGAGACTCTGTGAAGGCTTGCCCTGATGCTTTTGTTGAATATGTGTGGTGTGTCCAGCCATGCTTTTGTTGAGTGTGTGTGTGTGTGTGTGTGTGTGTGTGTGTGTGTGTGTGTGTGTCTGTAGCCATGCATTATTTATGTGCTGTTGATGAATTGTATCATGGGAGTCTTGGTGATTTTCTGATTAGAAAGAGACAGGAAACTTTCAAGGAAACTTTCATTTGTCTACATTGTTTTTTTAAAAGCTTAGCTGATGTCTAGATGGGTGTCCCTGGATACACATGCACGTGCTTATGAATAGGCACCCATCACTCATGCAGATAGATGAGTATATGTTCTTTACGGAGGTTTAAAGTGCACAAGCAGGTAGCGGATGCACCTGCTCTCTTGGAAGAGAGCTCTCTTCCATCAGCTGCCCAATTGGGACCAGGCTTATGGGGCTGGATGTTCCTTTAGGACCAGCTTCCACAGTCTGTCAGGCCAGCTCCTTTGCAGCTAGGAGTCAGTGGATGGCACTGTAGATAGTTGTAAGGTTGGAATTCTGGTAAGATCATAAAATGGAACAAAACAAAACAAAACAAAAACCACATGGTGCTTTTACCCTCCACAAGTCATCCATCTTTTCTGTTGTCTAGAATTCCTGTGTGAAAACTAGAGCTCCAGGAGGAATCTTGAACCAAGAAGTCTGGAGGAGGCAGTCAACTGCTCAGAACAGCAATTTAGAAAGTGTCAGCTTTCTGATAATCAGAGAACCCTGTCTCCTGCTACAAAAAGAAACCGTGTTCATGCTATAGTTTTCTTATGGTTTTCTCTTATGGCAGTCTCTAAATTCTCTTCGCAAATTTAGCTATTTACAAAGCTATTAGCTGATAGGACAGATGGATTAGTTTCAGATTGGCAGGTCTAGTTAAGGCCAGCTCTATCACTGGGTAGTGAAGTCTTCAGTCATGGCTCCCTGCCACCTTCCTGGCCTGGCCTGTCCTGGAAAGATGCATGAAGTGGTAGCTGTCCTGTTAGACTGCCTTTGGTTGTTTTTTTAGCTCAATAGCAACATTAGAGAAAACAGTTGGAGGAAAGTGGAAGGAGAAAACTCTTAACAGGATACCCCCCTTGTTAAAAGCTTTCCAGGAATGTGTTGTTTGAATATGTTCAGGCTGCTACTTAAAAAAAAATCAAGAGCAAGAGCAGATCTAGCAGGTGTAGGGGGCAAGTTAGGTAGGTGAGGCTCCAGGAAGAATGGAAAGACATTAGAGACGCAAGCTCAAACAGTCCTTGAGACATTCATCCTGAGAGAGACATAGTTGGTGGGAAGCAAGGCCACGAGGAGACTTCACAATCTTGTCCCTGCAAGCAGCCTGCTTGAGTTCTAGACTGTTCTACAGAACAGCAGTCTTCTTCATTTTCTTTACTTTTCTTGTTTCATCTTATATTAATTTTTAATTTAATTTTAATGTGGTCTGAACACTTAATATGAAGTCCACCCTTTTGTTATGTGCATAGTATAGTATTGGGAACTGCAAAGGAATAGTATACAATGTTGTATTGCAGATGTTTACAGCTTACTCTCTTACCCATTGATATAATTCTCATACACTTCATGTCCATTAATAGCATTTTCCTATTACTGGCTTCCCCCAGGCTTTGGCGACCAGCATTCTGCACTCAATGTCTGTGAATTTAATTATATATACATATATAACACAATACATATAATATATATGTATGCATATGTATATGTATATAACACACACACACACACACATATATATATATATACACTCATACAAACATACATATATGAGAGGATTTGTGTGCTTGCATGCTCATGTGTGGAAGTCAGCGGTCAGTCTCTTGTATCATTTCTCAGGAGCTATACACCTTGTTCTTTGAGACAGGATCTCTCACTGAGATCTAAACTGGCAAACTAGTGAGCCCTAAAGACCCACCTGTGTCTCCCTCCCAGTGATGTGATTAAAATGCCGCCACTCGGTCTGACATTTTAGGAAGATGCTAGGGACCAAACTCAGGTCTTCCTGCTGTAGAGGAAACACTTTACTATTGGACTATGCCATCTTCCTAATCTTCATGTGTGTGTGTAAAAATATTTGTACTATTATATATTATATAAATATTACATAATATTATAATATGTAAAAATAAATATTTATATAATTATAATAGTTATATAAATACAATACATAATAGTTACACACACACATACACATACACACAAACACACACATATGTATTGAGATAGGATCTTACTATGCAATCTAGGCTGGCCTGTAACTCACTATGTAGCCCAGGCTGGCCTTGAATTCATGGAGAATTCTTCTGCTTCATCCCCCCAAATGCTAAGATTACAGGTATATGACATCACACTTGGCTGAACTTGGTTATATTAGGTATATCATTTAAATGGTAAAAATAAAATCAATGGGAAAATATCCATAGACTAGACGTCAACCATTGACATTTTATGCTTACTCTCATTCATGAATAACTGAAACCACAGGTTGCACTAGTAGGGTAGGGGTGTGATTTGGGGGTGGGGCATGTCCAAAGCCCTGGTTCTAGGAAGATAATATTCCCTGTCAGTGCAGTGGAGAAGATAGGCACTTTCTGGCTTGGTATTTTCCATTTGGTTAAGTTGCCTCTTAATGACTTGAAATAACTGGAATCATAAGGGAGCAAATGCTGCTCCAATTCATATATTACATAATTCCATTTCTGCTCTCATGCACGTTAAGCTGGTTGGAAGAAAATCTGCTAAATTAAATTTGGTTTGATTAGGAAATTTGCATCATGTGCAGGCAAAGTACGGCATGTGTGGGTTAAAAAATGTTCTGGTTATTTAAAAAAATGTTTTACAGATGATTCAGTTTTACCATAGCTTCATTAGTGAACTAAATTTGTGTTCCTGAGGATGTGTTGGGGGTAGACTTTGCTTTGGCCCTTTGCTGGGAAATCTCTCCAAGTCCCAGACTGTTTGTCCTGTCTGAAGAAAAGTACTATGGTCTCAAAGGCTGGGTGGGACATTTGAGCATCTCATGTCCTTCCTGCTCTGATCCCTGAGGCCCCTTCATGGGTCCCTTTACTTCCTTCTCATAAACTTTTGCCTGCTTCTCATCAGTTTTCCCAAGGTGGGCCTTGGGTCTCATCTTCCTTGGTCTAAGTCCTTAGCTGCATTCCACCCCAAATGGTCACCTTGCATTTTACTTGCCGAACTCGAAACAAAGGCATGAAGAGATTTAAGGAGAGTTGTCTAATGTATTTCAGGATGAGGAAGGGGCTTGAGAGAAGGTCAAATGTCACAGCAGGGTGCAGGGCCAGGGAAGGTAGATAGCCAAGAGCAAGTGGCAAAGTCCAGGAGCTTCTGTTTTATAGATAATACAGAGCTCCACTTTTCAGTCTCAGTCTCCGCGGTGATGAACAGAATCTTGTATTTTACAGCCATTGAAAAGCACCCAAAGAGCAGTGAAGATTAAGAAAAATATGGTGCTGTTACTCTTATTTTAGGGGAGTGATTATTGGGCAAAGAAGGCACTGCATGGACAGCAGGTCTCCCCAAACTTCAGAAACTTTGCCGAGAACCAGGGCCACAAGGTAGCCCCAGGGCTTCAAGAAGGTGTTCAGATGTGAGGATCTGGCTACGGTCTTTTCATTCAGTAAAGGCCTAGCTTATTTTTCATGCTCTTTTCCTCTTTATCATTTTTGTTCATGGAATGACAATTTTGTAGGCTAGAGTGCACAGGTAGTTTTGACACAGGCCACGTGGGACACACTTCTAGAAAGGTGTATAGCACCCTGTCATTCCAGACAAGTCCCTTGTGCTTCTGGCCCCTGGCCAATTCCCCCTTCGCCCTGAGGTAATCATGATTGCACTAATTCCTATTTCTATAGATTGTCCAAGCCTTTTCCAGAAATATATAACAATGGATTCACAGACTGCTCCCTTGGGTTTAATGCTTCATGCTTTAAGCACATAGAGAAACTTCCATGGCTTCTATGTCTGAAATCAAAGGGCCACCCTGCAGAAATGTGGGTATTCTGAGGTCCCTGGGGTTTGCATTGGGGTAGAAGACTTCAGATGCCAGTTTGCCTGGGGGAGGGACGAGGAAGAAGACGAGGTGGGAGGCTCATAGCTACCCTTCTCATCCTCAAACAGCACAGCTGTCCTTTTTCATGTTGTCCAAATTGGGGTTCACTGAAAAGTTGCATTTGGTAAAGGGGGAATTAGTTAATAAAGAGCTATCTATGTTAGCAGCATGGGAAATATTAATCATTGCATTTTATATTACAGAACCACAAATCTCAAGATCCTTAAGTGATCCCTTTTTTGTGACAGTCCATAAATTTCCAATATTGTTTTCTGATAAGAAAGTGGTGCAGCCCTGGAGAGAGCTGGGAAACAGAGACAGCCAGACCGGGGCCCCCCAAGGGAGGGCTTGGGCACCGGGCACTGTAATATTAGTACTGGTTACCAGCAGACAGCACCAGCCCCGCCAAGGTGCCTAGACAATAGGCCAGAGGCCACAGGCAAGGGAGGCACAAAGACAGCATTCAAAAGACCCTGCTGCTGCCGGCCAACACTTCCTTCCACGGACTCCAGCAGACCCAGGCCAGGCCTGCACACTACCCACGGCCAGAAAGCAGAAAGCCTTTCTTGTCTTTTTTTTTAATGGTGAGTTTTTAAATGGCTAAAAATACTAAACACAGAAAGGAGAGTGCCGACAAAGCCTTAGAGGCAGACGAGACACACGGAAACTGTTGTTCTAATGATGAAGACAAACCAGCTTCATAATTAGAGCCCAGCATTCCAAACAGGGCGATTGTTATTACCGCACTCCTCTAGGATGAGGGGCGGTCCAGAGGACTTATCAGCAAACCCAGGAAACCACCATCCACCTGCACCTGCTCACCCCTCTCTGCTTGCTCTAGCCAAGGCTTATCTAATTCTTGGGCTTTTTTTCTAAGCACTCAAGGAAAAGATACTTGAGATGGGATCAGATTCTTCAGGCCCAATTCTCTTGTGAAAAAAGAGGAACGGTTCTTTCCATCCAGTATTCTGAAACTGCCATTCTTCCCAAGCAAATTTACCCATTTCTTTTCCTGGATAGAGTTCTAGCCACATAATACCTTATACTTCACAGGACTACCCACCTCAGTTACGCTAAATGAATCTTTTAAAAAAGTGGCAATGCCACAGGTTTGAAGTTAAAAGGGTCAACTAACAGCAAAAATAACCACAAGTGCCAACAGCAAGCAAGGCTGACATCTGACCTTATTAAGTCATGTGTGAAGCTTGGTACCGCACAGGTCCTCCGACGAGATGGAAACCACAGATCTGGGAGAGAGGAAACACAAGACGATAAATATAAATGGTCTTTTAGATTTAAGTTCCCCAACATTTGATTAATCAGTACCTGCTCTTATTCCTGTCTTTAAATGGGGTTGGGTTTCAGAGCTGTCTCCGATTTTGAATAAATGCAAATGGACTTAGATGAAATCTCATTCTGAACTGGACATAGTTTCATGGGAAGAGACTAAACACTAGGTTGTAATCACAGAGCTCAGGAGGGCGACAACCTTCCTGCCTCCCAAAGACCTACTTTTCTATGGGGCTTCAAGAACAACACACGAGAGTTTTACATTCCCAGCCTGGGAAGAGGGCTAAGAGGCAAATAAGAACCTACAGGAGATGGGAGATTTTATGCTAATGAGAGGCCGTTTCCTATTCCTGGGGATGAGGCAGCACCCCTGTGCTGGTGCAAGTTAGAGGGCGCTGCATGGGGCCTCCTCTCAGCCCGAAGTGGAGATGCCTGGAGAGTTTATTCTGTGTGGCCTATGGGGGACACTTTCTGCTGATAGAAACACGAGGTGGCACCTGCTGGAAGCGGACGGACGGCAATGGGGGCAACACCAGCGTCTAAGTGTGACAGTTCCAGCCTTATACTTTTTGTGATTGTTGTGGAGAACTCAGAAGTCACAGTCACAGGTCAGAAGCATAGACATCTGGATTCCCAACACCCACAACTGAAGATGGCTTTTTTCCCACCTTTCGTATGTTTCATCAAAACAATGAAAAGAGCGCTGGTATAATTTCCTTGATAACCCGCCCCAATCCTGGCTCATAAGTTGATGTACAAATTGCCAGTCTTTGTTTGTTTGTTTGTTTGGTTTGTATTCACAAAAATATCTATGTATCCATGACAACCGTGTGCTTATGGGTGATTTTTGTGTTTTGTTTTTGTGACAAGGTCTCATTTTTTGTAGCCTAGGCTGTCCTTGAACTCAGTCTATAGTCCAGGCTGGATCCAATCTCATGGTGATCCTCCTGCCTCAGAGTTATGAGTCCTGGGATTACAAAAGTGAGTCACCATTGCTTGGCTTGGGTTTTGGTAGTTTTGCTTGCACTGGTGTGTGTCATAAACCTTCTATTACAAAACTGTCATGTGCTGATTAAGCTCACCAAGAAACTCCCTCTCCTACCTACTTCAGACTCAAGCATATTCGTCTCAGTGTATCTTCCAAGGTTCCTTGGCCAGGGATGGGCTGGTCCCCTGACCTTGTGGGAAGGGTAATGGAGAAGAGCAAAAGAGCCCCAAAGTAAGAACCACTATGTCCCTAAGAACACCTAGAAAGGCAGCCCATTTCCAGCACAGGTTATGCTCGTTCATCTCGTGATAAAACAATTCCTGCAGTGCAGGGGTGACTCCCGTGCACACCATGCCCAGCTTTTCACAGGATGCCGTGAACCCCGAGCTCAGCTCCTCATGCTTGCACGAAGTCTAGTCACTGCGCCATCATCACAACCTGGGCATTTTAGATTTACTGTGTGATGTGACTTTCTGTCTCTGCATGTCTTCGTCTAATTTTTATTTTAAACCACATACACTAACCGTACAAAGTTCTGGGCTTTGCTATATTGTCTACATGCATGAATGTACTTTAATCACTTCTGGCCCTCTACGACAGACCCTTTCAGTGCCTCCTTCCCTCCCTCCATTTCCACAGTATGGACAAGAGCTCTCCCCATCAAATGCACAAACACTCAGTTACTGTCCCTTCGCCCCGTGGCCCTGTGTTTACAACACCAGAAAAGCTCTGTTTATCGCATTAAAGGGATTCCTGGTCACTCAACAGTGTGCAATGCGTGTGCAGATTTTCTCTACTGCCCCACTCAGGGCTTTTTTTTTATGAAGGTTCATCCACAATATGCCTCCATGCAGAACACACATGCCATGCATATACAAGCAACACATACTTATTATAATTTATTAAAATTTATTGCTAACATCTTTTACTTGAAAACCATTAAAGATGACTCTGAAATTGTATTCATCCATTTTCTACAAAATCCCTTTCTGCTGCTCTTGCCATAAACCTTCTAATCTAAAACCTCCAACTTGAACTCACTATGAGTAGAAAAGCTGATAGTATTGGGCTAGACACCAAGGCATGGAGAAGCATGCTGTATTCTTAAAGCATTTCCAAAGAAGAAGTCAATAGAGCCAAGAGGCTTGTGTTTGGAGCTGTTTGGTTTTACTGCAGTTTTAAGTACATGCATACCCTTAGCTTTGACATTAATATCTAAAAATAAACAGTGCCTTTTGTAGAAACAATATCAAACTTCAATATGTATATGGATATAATTTAATTCAATAACTTAATTCTGATTTAGACTCTAAGGAATAGATTTGAACTTGGTTACATGGAAACAATATAAAGCCTCACATAATTCATATTAAAAAAATTTTTATTTTTATTTTACTTTGTTCTTTTCAAGACAGGTCCCATGCTGTACCCAAGTCCAGCCTGGAACTCACTATACGGTCCAGGCTGTCTCAGAACCTTCTGTCTTCTGCCCCAGGCTCCAGAGTGCAGGGGCCATAGGAAACAACTTGATTCATAAACTATCACTAAGTAACTTTATGGTTTGTAGTAATAATTTCACATGCATTAGACCTCACAGTGACCACATGAGACATATAGTATTAACAGGCTTGTTTTCCATATTCAGAAAGGAGAGGCAGAGTGAGGCAGACACTGGTGAGCGGTTCCACTTGGCGAGTCTGATGTCATAGGCTTGTTCTGAATGCCTGAGAACGAGCTTTAGTTTCAAAGTCAAAACTGTTAAGAATGTGAGATGTGGGTGCCATGGAAGTGGCCTCCAGAATCTGTGTAACACAGACAGCATCTCTTTCATGGTGTGTTCCTGAGAAGCAACCTCATTCGAGTCAATCCAGGAGACAAGCTCAATGGTGACTTGGCTGTGCTGAAGGCCAGTTAAAGAAGGGAACTGAAGCCAGACCCTCCCAATCTAAACACATCTGGTTTTAACTCTTCTCTTTAGAAAACAGGGAATTGAGAATTTGCTCAGAGCTCAAAGGAGACTGGCCAAAATCATAATGAAAAGCCTTTCCTGGAACAACTGTAATTTAGAATGTGTGTCTTTTACACCTTTTAAAATTGGGGCACAAATATGTTACTAGTGTGGCTATTTTGTAGCTTCAACAGAATACTGTTTTGTAACTGATTCACATTCCAACTTGGGGTACATTTATTTGTGGGCGTGAAGCGGTTCATTTTGTTTAGTCATCTGACCTGAGGTGAGGTTGGCACTGTTTCACGGCTGCTCCCAATTAATGCAAATTGGAGGGTAAAGGAGAAATAAAGCGTCTTTAACTTGGTTCACAAATATGTTATAAAGAGCTCTTCATTTGATCTATTTCAGGGGAGGGCAGAACTGTGAACAAACAAAACAACACAGAAGAAACTAGCAATTATACAACATGTAATTTTACTACCGAGATTTGAAAGGGTTAAATTATATCTAAGTTATTTGCTTATTTATTTTGAGCCACGGTCTCCCTATGTAGCCTAGACCTGGCTATGTAAACTAGGCTGGTCTCAAACATACAGAGTGTCTTGTTTCTGCCTCCCGAGTGCTGGGATGAAAGGTTTGGACCATCACATCTGGTTAATCAAAAATCAACCCTCTCTGTCCATCTGTTTATCTATCCATCCATCTTTAGTCTTTCAGCTCTCACCTGAGGTAGACCAAAGTCTGTGAACAGTGTATGTTCCTTTTGTTTCTGTTTTTAAGGGGTTTGCTAAGTCTTTTTACATTTTTTTTTATAGTCACACTGCATTCCCTCACACCAGCACACAGTCACACTGCATTCCCTCACACCAGCACACAGTCACAGCTGCAGAAGTCAGTGAGGTCTTTTTTTAGCACCGTGTCTTATATACATTGCAGAGGTTCCAACTCTCACACATATAAGGTATGGTACAGGACAATCTGTTTAATGGCAATTGCCCCTTTTACATTGAGATTGCCATTTCTGGATGAACTAGAGAGGTTGTTTCAGTCATGTATGAAGCCTGAATGTCCTGTTTCCCTCCACCCCCGAGAGAAGCAGAAGGGTGTCAGATCCCCAGGAACTGGAGTTACAGGTGGTTGTGTGGTTCCCGATGTGGGTGTTGGGGCCAAACTCAGGTCCTCTACAGAGCAGTGAGCATTCTTGACCACCTGTGATTTTTTGATACACTCTTTTTTTAATTTTTATTTTTCTTATTCTGTGACCTCCCCTCACCCCTTCCAGCTTTCTGCCCTCTCCTTCCTTTCCTACCTTTCCCCCAGTGGTGTGCTCTTTTCTCTCTCTCCTAGGCTCACAGACCCCTCTGTTCAGCTATGTCAATGCCTTACAGTTTTCAGAGAAATTCTTACTCTTTTGCCTTTGCTTTCTAAAACCTGGGTGGTACAGATTGTTTTTCTAATTTTTTCTTTTCTTTTTGTTAACTGGCATGACACTTACCTTTTGAAGGTTTCAAATACCTAATACTGTGATAATGTACACCATCGCCCCCATCACATTCCCTCACTGCTCAGTGAAGGAGCTGTCTTTCCCCCATCCCCTTCAAGCTTATTTTTGATCACATGACTTTTTTTGCTCCATAGAATTTCATCAGACATGCTCATACAGAAGTTTGAGAGAGTTCTTGCTCCATTTAAGTGTCTTTCTGCTGCCCCATGATTACCTTGGGGACATGCCTAACCTTGCTTCTCCTGGGTAGCAACGATACAGTGGAAATAGTTCACGTTAACTAGCTCCACAAAGCCAAGATGATAGCGCTATCCAGCTCCTGTTGCCCATAGAATCCCAAGAGAGCCCCAGTTGGACCAAAAGACCCACCCTGCTAACCTTTGGACCCAGGAACTCATAAATGCTAATTGTTTCAAGCTTCTAGGTTTGGAGATAATTTGTTACTGACCAAGGAAGACCAGATACTATCACTGAGCACTACTAACTGACAGAGAGCTTGTCTATTATACTAAGG